ACAAGGGACTTAAAGTATGGGGAAAGGGGAACTTCTATGGTTTCTCACTCTAGAATCAGCCCTAGGCAAAAGAGAGCAAAGCTGCTATATCGGTTCTCATGTGTCCTTTGTCTCTTGCTCTTTCTAACATCCTTCTCAAAAACTGAGCCCAGAGGGCATGTGATTTGCCAAGGCCACATAGATAGGACAAAGTAGAAATCAAAATAAGAACATTTGACTCCATATGCCACGCTCTGGTTTACTTAACCCTAGCTGATTGTGGTCTGTATACATGAAGGCATTCTTGTTTGACCACGTATTCCTCACAGAGAATTAGTGAATTCTTCTGACTGTGACTAACTAGAGGCATGGTCTGTTAGCTGTCATAATCCTGGACAACTCCTTTTCTTCTTTTTTTGGGAAGGATCCTAGACATATGTTGTCTGATTCTTGGGCATCTCAATAGGCCTTAAGGTCAGCACAGAATTTCTCAGACTTCTGCAATTTCCTTGAGTCTGATTATTGTGACAGTTCCCTGCTCCTCTAGCTGCTTCTATAGACTCAATCCTTGTAACAGTGCCTTCTCCCCTTCTCCCTACGTGTAGACCTTATCATCCTTGGCAAGGCTTGCTTTCTTTCAAGTGTCCCTCTTCATGCTACTTCTACATTCATGTTAGCTTTTAAGATGTATTTCAAGTTTCTGAACTTTATTTATTTTTTTTAATAGATTTATTTTATTTATTTATTTATTGGCTGCATTGGGTCTTCCGTGGATGTGCACGGGCTTTCTCTAGTTGCCAAGGGCTTCTCACTGCAGTGGCTTCTCTTGTTGCGGAGCACAGGCTCCAGGCGTGCAGGCTTCAGTAGTTGTGGCACACGGGCTTCAGCAGCTGTGGCGCACAGGCTTAGTTGCTTCGCAGCATATGGGATCTTCCCGGACCAGGGCTCGAACCCTTGTCCCCTGCATTGGCAGGCGGATTCTTAACCACTAGGAAAGCTTCTGAACTTCAGACGGTAATTCTCAGATTTGTTCTTTTGGGCGGCACCCTGCAGGCCTACAAGCCTTGTAATTGCCCAGCCTCAAGACTGAAGAAAGAGCCTGAGACGGTGACAGGGACATCAGTGGTTTATTGGATGGGGGAGCTTACATGTTCAAAGCCAGGTCCTGGGGTGACACCCCACTGTGTACAGCAGACAGCAGTAAGCGGTATGGGGGGGGGGAGGTTATCGATTACAGGGAAAATTGATGTCAGGTTGGCTCATCAGTTACCAGGGAAACCAGCTGAGGGGCATGCCCCTCATAGCCCCTCAGGTTAGACTTTCATGGGGCAGTTGTTTCCCTTTGATAAACTAGTAGGTGGAGCCATTCTGGCCTAAGGATTAGAATAATCACTAGCTGGGGCAAGGGGCAAGCATGTAGGCAGTTACTGACTAGGCTCTATGATTAAGAGGGAAGGTCAGTCAGGCGAGTAGGCTGTAGGTGAGGCAGGGGACTGGTCAAGCAGGGGATGTACAGAGAGCAAGAGAACAGCCATCTTGGGTGACATGATTATACACGTTCATGAGCAGAACACTTGAAAATCTTATTCTTAAAGAAGTAAACTAAGGAATCAAAATGACAAGCCAGGAACTCAAGAGCAAAGAGCAACCTCTAAGCAAATAAGCGACAGTAGGGTCCTAGGTGAGCACCTGAGGCAGGACCTGTCTTTTTGCTCTTAAAATATTTTTGAAACCTTCATAACAAACAGTAAAGCACATAAAATAACATACTGAATACCTGGGTGCCCACCTCCCTGAATTTTTCAAAACTAATGGAAGCATCAATTTACAGGTTTAAGAACTATTATAAAGTCCGAATAGAATAAATATAACTCAGCAAATATTAAAGCATACACTTAGACACATCAGATAATATTGTGAAAAAGAATCATTTCTAACTCAAAGCCGCCAGAGAGAAAAGAAACATTACCTTCAAAGCTGCGATACGGACAGTTGACTTCTCAACAGAAATGTTAGAAACCAGATGACAATAGAAAGATATCTCTATAAGTGCTGAAAAACAATTACCTGCCAACCTAGAAATCCATATCCAGGAAAATATTCTTGAAAAGTGAAAGCAAAATAAAGCCATTTTCCAGAAAACCAGGAAGGGAGAGATTTGTCACCAGCACACCTGCCTTTAAAAAAGGAAAATAATTCCTGATGGGTGTACAAAGATGCAGGAAAGAATGAACTGCACTAGAAAGAGTAAGTACATATGAATATTATCTGCATCAAGCAATATCTTATGTGGTTCAAAATATAGAGAGAGGGCTTCCCTGGTGGCACAGTGGTTAAGAATCTGCCTGCCAGGACAGGAATAAAGGCGCAGATGTAGAGAATGGACTTGAGGACATTGGAAGGGGGAAGGGTAGGCTGGAACGAAGTGAGAGAGTGGCATGGACTTATATACACTACCAAACGTAAAATAGATAGCTAGTGGGAAGCAGCCACATAGCACAGGGAGATCAGCTTGGTGCTATGTGACCACCTAGAGGGGTGGGATAGGGAGGGTGGGAGGGAGACACGAGAGGGAAGAGATATGGGGACATATGTAAATGTATAGCTGATTCACTATGTTATAAAGCAGAAACTAACACACCATTGTAAAGCAATTATACTCCAATAAAGATGTGAAAAAAAAAATAAGAATCCGCCTGCCAATGCAGGGGACACGGGTTCAAACCCCGGTCAGGGAAGATCCCACATGCTGTGACGCAACTAAGCCCATGTGCCACTACTATTGAGCCTGCACTCTAGAGCCCACGAGCCACAACTACTGAAGCCCACGTGCCCTAGAGCCCGTGCTCCGCAACCAGAGAAGCCACTGCCATGAGAAGCCCGTGCACCGCAACAAAGACCCAACGCAGCCAAAAATAAATAAATTAAATAAATAAATTTATTTAAAAAATTTTTTTTAAAGTTTTAAAAATTAAAAATATAGAGAATTCAAATACATGACAACAGCAGCACAAGAGTCAGGAGAAGGAGCTAAAAGGAATTTAAGTGTTTTATTTAAAGTAAATGTGCTGGAGGGGAGGGATAAATTGGGAGATTGGGATTGACATATACACACTAGTATATATAAAATAGATAACTGATAAGAACCTGCTGTATAACACAGGGAACTCTGCTCAATACTCTGTAATGGCCTATATGGGAAAATAATCTAAAAAAAAAAGAGTGCATGTATGTGTATGTATATCTGATCCACTTTGCTGTATACCTGAAACCAACACAACATTGTAAATCAACTATTCTCCAATAAAAAATTTTTAAAGGTAATAAAATAAATGTATTAATACATATTTCAAGGAATATCAGAAAATAAATTACTTCTTATAAAAAATTAATTATTGAACATATCTTCACAATAAATTAATGAAAGTCATCAAGATCAAAATTTTGTATATCTAATAAAATTAGTCTATTTTATAATAAATTATTTAAAACATGAGTAAATCTATATGCTGTTTCTCATGCTTAGTTTATAATAATGCAGTTATTGCATTAAAAGATGTAGTTAAAATATGAGTTTTGAAAGCAAGAAATAGTGTAAATGACATGATTTTCTTTCAGTAAATATGTACATGTATTGTACTCTAGTGCTTGGCTTTTGGAAAATAATTTTTAAATTTTGTATAAAATTCAAAATAATTCCATATACATTATTAGGCAACTCTGTATTTAATAGAAAAGAAAAGCATCTTTGAGCAACCAAAGCAGTTTAGGTGGATGACACTGATCCTGGCCATTGAAATGTAAAGAAGGAGTATGCCTTTTTATCCTTTTGAATAGTGGAAGAAGGGCAATTATGAAAGAGAGGGTGGGAAAGTTGCCAGAGAGTTTCCAGGCAGTGTGTGCGTGGGGTGGGGGTGGGGTAGTATACATGGGAGTTGAAGGTTCTCTTAACTATCAGTACCCCAGTACCCTGGCAAAATCTTCATATAACCACAAGGATATGCATACCCCAGTTTGAAGACCATTGCTCTGGGGCATATATTGGGTTGATCAAAATGTGCCTTCGGTTTCTAAGTAAAAATAAAAGACACATTTTTCATTTTCACCAAGAATTTTATTGAACATATTCACTGTTATGTTCCACTACCTTCTGCCATTTTTCAGGCAGCTTCATAATTCCATCTTCCCAAAACTTTTTATCTTTCTGAGCAAAGAACTGTTCCAGGTGCCTTTTACAGTCTGCCAGGGAATTGAAACTTTTTCCATTAAGAGAATTTTGTAAAGATTGAAATAAATGGAAATCTGAACGAAGGTGCCATGTCTGGTGAATACCATGGATGAATCAGAACTTCCCAGCCAAGCTCTAACAGTTTTTGCCTGGCCATCAAAGAAACATGTGGTCTTGCGTTATCCTGATGGATGATTATGTGTTTTCTGTTGATTAATTCTGGATGCTTTTCGTAGAATGGTGCTTTCAGTTGGTCTAATTGGGAGTAGTACTTGTTGGAATTAATTGTTTGGTTTTCTGGAAGGAGCTCACAATAGAGGACTCCCTTCCAATCCCGCCATATACACAACATCACCTTCTTTGGATGAAGACCGGCCTTTGGTGTGGTTGGTGGTGGTTCATTTCACATGCCCCACGATCTCTTCCGTTCCACATTATTGTACAGTATCCACTTTTCATTGCCCGTCACAATTTGTTTTAAAAACGGAACATTTTCATTACGTTTAAGTAGAGAATCGCATGTGGAAATACTGTCAAGAAGGTTTTCTTCACTTATGTGGAACCCAAATATCAAAGCGATTAACATAACCAAGCTGGGGCAAATGATTTTCAGTGCTTGATTTGGATATTTTGAGTATGTCTGCTGTCTCCCACGTGGTATAATGTTGATTGTTCTCAATTAATGTCTCAATTTGATCACAGTCAACTTCAACTGGTCTACCTGACCATGGAGCATCACCCAGCGAGAAATCTCCAGCACAAAATTTGGCAAACCACTTTTGACACATTCAATCAGTCACAGCACCTTCTCCATGCACTGCACAAATCTTTTTTTGTGTGTTTTAGTTGCGTTTTTACCTTTCTTGAAATAATAAAGCATAATATGCCAAAAGCGTTGCTTTTTTCTTCCGTCTTCAATATTTAAATGGCTATACAAAAATTCACCAATTTTGATGTCTTTTTTTAAATGCACGCTGATATGACAGCTGTCACATACAATCTAACAAAATTGTTTCAAATGAAGTTAAAGACAGCTAAGTGCTACTAGAGCCATCTTATGGAAAAAACCGAATGAAACTTTTGGCCAACCCAATACTAAGAGAGGAATTACTGAGTCCCAAGCTGTGCACATTTTCAGCTTCACCAGATATTGACAAACTGCTTCTAAAGCAGTTGAATCAGTTTATAATCCCACAGCAGTTGGTTTGATATAGTACTTCAACATCATTTTGATTTTTCATTGGCACTGTATTTTTTTGTTCGTTTTGTCTTTCCCTGACTATTAAAAAGGTTGAGTATCTTTTCATGTGTTTATTGGCTATTTAAGTTTCTTATGTGAATATGCTTTTTCTTATCAATAAGATATATTTCCACATTCTGAATATTTATGCTTTGTCATTTATATGCATTGCAGATAGCTTCTCCCAGTCCACAGGCAGATTAATTAAACATTTGGATGTCTCAGTTTCCTTATAGGAAAAAATGAGAATAATACCTTCCTCAAAAGATGCTAGGTCATTTGATTCTCAAAACAACTCTATGAGGTGGATAACATAATTAATCCCATTTTTCATATGAGAAATCTTTTCTCAGTTATGCCAAATTGTTTACCATAGAGGTTGTACCAATGTTTATTCTATCATCAGAATATACGTGTCCTTGTTGCTCCACTTGAAATAATCAGACTTTTAAATTTTTCCCAATATGGTAAGTGTGAAGAAGAATCTCTGTGCTTTTTATTTTGCATTTCCCTGGTAACTAATGAAGTTGAACACCCTTTCATATGTCTCTTCATTCTTTTTTGGTTCCTCTTCTCTAAAACACCTGTACATGGCTTTTGCCCCTCTTTACATTGGGTTGTCTCTTTCCTATTAATTCTTAGGTTCTCTTTATATAGTCTGGATACATGTGGCAAGTAGTTTCTCCCAGTTTGTGGCTTCTCACTCTTTTTTTAAAAATTGAAATATAGTTGACCTTTAATATTATGGTAGTTTCAGGTGTGCTACATAGTGACTTGACATTTGCATATATTACGAAATGATGACCATGATTAAGTCTAGTAACAATCTGTCCCCATACAAAGTTATTACAATAATATTGACCACATTCCTTATTCTGTATATTACATCCCTGTGGCGTAATTATTTTATAACTGGAAATCTGCACCTCTTAATCCCCTTTACCATGGCTTCTCTTTTTGTTCTCTTTGTGCTGACAAGATGAGAACAAGTTCTTAATTGTAATAAATTTACTTTGTTTACCCTTTCCTTTTTGGTTATGCTTTTCTTAAGTTTATTACTTTCCTTTCATTTAAACCTTTCCATATCATTCTTGTATAGGTGTACCTTGTAAGAAGCATAATCAAATCTGATAGCTTCTTGTCTTTCTATATGTGAATTTATTTATATTTGTTGTTTTCAGTGATAGACTTATTTTTACCATCTTATTTTTTATTCATTGCTTGCAATCCTCTTTATCAGTTTTTGCCCCCTCCTTTCTTGTGTTCAGTGGATTGATAAATTTTCAGAGACTCACTACAATTTTAGAATCTATAGATTATATATCTATCTATTTGTTTAGGCTGTTTTAAATATTTAGCATATATACTTAACTATAAATTTTTAATACACTAAAATTATTCCATATTTGTATGCTGTTAAGGACTTTAGCAATATATGAAACAAAATTGGCAAAGTATTGGTTGCTGCTAAAGCTGGGTGATGGATAAACTGTTTTAAAGGCCCTCAGATACGTAACTACCCATTAAGCGCATGCGCACACACACACACACACACACACACACACACACACACACAGATAGTCTTATTATTAAGGAGAGTTTTTATCTTTTTTGTAAAAACATGCACAAACTTGTTTTGTGGGGGATTTTTTGGTCACATAAACACACTTCCAGATATATTTTATCTGTTCCTGTTCTCACTGCTTTTTGGTTGGTTGGTTGTTTTTGAATGCCATGCTTTTCCTCTGGGTTTGGTTTTCTTCTGGATGGAAAATATCCTTAATAGTCTCTTCAATGAGAATCTATGGCAAATTTTATTCTCCTTTTTTTTTGAGGAATAGTTTAACTGGGTATAAAATTCTACGTTGATGGTTATTCTTCCTCAACACTTTCATAATTTTGCTCCTTTGTCTTCTGACATCTATCATTATTGATTAGAAAACAACTGTCCATTTAATTACCGTTCCTTTGTGGATAATAAGTCTTTTTTCTCTGGCTGCTTTAAAAATTTTCTCTTTATCTGTGATGCAGTGTCACCACAATGTGCCTTCTGTGTGAATTTATTTCTATATATACTGCTAGGTATTTGGAATGCACTTTTGTTTGAGAATATACATCTTCCTTCAATTCTAGAAAATTTTAAATTATTATTATCTCATCAAATATTGCTTCTCCATAATTCCCTCCATTCTTTTCTTTTAGAACTCCTATTAGATATGCCTGAAACCTCCAAAATATTTCCTTCACATCTTTAACTGATTGTTCATATTTTTCTTTATATTGGATGCTGGGTGAATTCCTCAGCACACTTTTTCAATTTACTAGTTCTCTAATATTTTCTGATCTAGAGTTGTCCCAGCTTTCAAGAACTGTTTTTATTTCTGCTTCTTTTGATTCTTTTATGGATATTAGTCCTTATTTATCCTTTTGAAAAAGTGACATTTAAGTTGAGAAACTAGAAACCACATGAAGTGGCAGGTGTAGAACATTCTAGGCAGAAAAAAACAGCTTTGGGACCTGATTTTCTCCCCCCAAAACTCTGTCTGCTCCTTAAGCAGCATTTATTTTCAACTTGACCTATCACATAAGCATAGCTGATGCTAACTCAGCATGTTGACTAAATCTCGTGGCTTTTGGTGCTGTAACCATGCACTTATTACTTAAGTTTGGGGTGTAGACAATATGATGTACACAACTTCTGTGTTGCTGACCGGGTCTTGGTCTTATTGAGTAAGTGTACTGTCTCTGACATACAGAAGCTTTACTTCCAGTAGGTCAGTTGAGCCATCTTGTATCCCAGGAATAAATGTGGCCAAGAGCTGACTGAGCAACAGACTGCATGGTTTTAGTTGGAGTAAGTAACAAAATGCAAATTTAAGTTAATCATGTGCTTTATGGAAAACAATAAAATAATCCTATAAATATAAACAAAACAGTTAAATGTCATCGCTTAGCACCATCTTGATTATATATAAAGGTACAAACTTGGGCATTAAAAGCATGTGGCAATATTCACTTTCAAAGGTGTCATATACATGATTCAAATCTTCCAAACTATGCTTAGAGTAATAGTATTTAGAATGTGATTTAATTTACAACAACAAGAAAAAATTTAATCCTGGTTGGAATCTGAATATCCCCATTGCTCCCACTCCCTAAATTCTGGGTGGTATTTTGGGTGGTGGTGGAGATAGATAACCCTGATATTCTTTTGTTTGTGTCACATCACCTTTGATGATACAGTCATATGTCTCTTCTCTCCGTCTTCCCTTCCTCCTTCTGGCTAAGTACCATTCTTGCAGCTGCCTGTTTTGAACCAATCTAACGTTGTACTTTTGATGGGAAAACTAACATATTCACGTCTCTTGCATTATCTGATGCAGTGAGCTCGCCCCTCATCCTCTTGTGAGACTGTCACCTCTCTAGCTCAGGGTGCTGATACACAGGTAGGTGAGGCAAGCTTCTCAGCACAACCACGCAGCTGTCTACACATAGCACAGCGCAGGGTGTCCGCTAGCTATGTGCTTACCATCAGCCGACCATGGCGTCACCCTGAATGTTTTCCTTTTTATACACTTAACAGTGTTGCCTTGATCTAGCATTTACCATTCTCATTTCTCACAGCACCTCTAAAGCAAGAAATAGTTAGATCAAATAAGGCTGGCTATTCTACACTGAGCTTTAGATTTTTAACTCTCTCCTGAAATTCCTTGACAAAGTATAAATGACATTAAGTTTTTCACATTGCAGAAGAAGAACAATCAGTTTGGGGCTTGGCTAATTCCAGTAAGTCTTCTTTTTGAATGAGGTAATTCAAATACAGAAGTCATCTTCATGAAAAGAGAAAGCTGTCTCCAATTCCTGCTCAGGAGGAGGTAAGTGCCTTGAACGTGCTGTTCACTTCCTTCAATAGTACAGTGGCCAATGTAAGTGGAAATATTTTTCAACACAGAACCTGCTGTTTCCAATTCAACATTCTGTTTCAATTCACTACCAAATGCCCACACAGAAAGAAGGTTTAGTGCCAAGGAAATCTATGGTCTCATGAGCCATAGATTTGCTCTCATGCACAAATCAGTCAACATGAAAGCAAATTCACATTTTAAAATAGTTCTTCCAGGGAATTCCCCAGCAGTCCAGTGGTTAGGACTCAGCACTCTCACTGCTGGGGCCCCGGGTTCAATCCCTGGTCAGGGAACTAAAATCCCATAAGCTGTGTGGCGTGGCCAAAAAAATATATAGTTCTTGCATTGGTTTAGAAGCTAAGTATAGATCTAGATAATTTCAAAAAAATTAATTTTTAAATAGGTGCAGCCTGTTAAGATAGGATGAAAGTTGTCGTTAGCAAACTTTCCATGGCTTTTGAGGTTTCCCATGCCAGGCCGACAAGGGCTGGCATGATGTGGTCCCTACCATCATCTCCAACCACAACCCATGCCTTATGCCACCTGTCAGTTTTGTTCTAGTTGTGCCAATCTTCTGTTAGCAGCTAGAAATGCCAAACTCTTTTCCATCTCTGGGCTTTTGTGCTTATTTTTTTTTACCTGCCCAGAACATGCTTCTCCCTCTTCTCATCTTAATGATGAGGTCTTCCCTAACCACTCTATCCAAAGTAAGTCATCCTCCTTAGTCCCATTCATAGCACTCTGTTGACTTCCTGCACAGCACTAAT